AGCCCGAGTTTCTTTGCCTATGGACCTCACACTGGAGATGATATAAACTGGTGTTTGCAGTGGTGGACATTGCTCTGCTCTGCAGAGTAGATATGACACAAGCAGATATACACAGCATGAGCAAAACACATTTATCCTCAGAGCTTATGTAATCCATAAATACAGCTCTGGATTCTCCTGTCTGGTTCTGTAGTATATAACCTAATCTTTTTTTTTTAATTTTTCTACCAAATATGTATACAGTGCACTCCAAAACACCTCCTATGACAGTAACAAATATTGGACTTCCTTGATTTTAGCAAAGAGCTTTCTCATCATGAACTGAAATTGGTCTTCCTGTAGATGATGCCATTTCCCTCATTCTCTTCTTTGTTACATAAAACAAGAAAGATGCCTTTGACCCCTAGTGGGGTTTTCTAGCATTGGAGAGATACTCCTTCAAATTCTGCTTTCCATAGGAAAAAAAAAATTTCCTTGTTCTAAAATTCTTATAACATGGATCTAGCTACAACTGACATGTCCACAGTTCTATTGCTTACACCCCACAAAACTATACACAATTCTTTTTAAAAATATTGTATGGTTATTAAAGAAAAATTAGAATACACACAAGCAAAAAGTATTGTCTTGGATTATACATGCAGAATTTCGATGCAAAACTAGTCACTTTCCTATTTTACTGTATGGTCTGCAAAATTATTTATATTCATACAAACACAGCTAAAGTTCAGCAGGATATTTACATCAAGCTAGGCTTGAAACAACATCTGAAAGCGTACACCAAAAATCACCATGGAGAAATGATTTTTCTTGAAGTTCCCCTTGACTAGAGCTCAGGGAACACATCATGTCTTGGTTTCTACTGTTGTATCTGAGCTCCCCTACCTTCTTTCTCTCCTTGTTGTTCATTTAAAAACCAAGGGGGAGATCAAGGGCTGTAGTTGGGCTGTACTTATCTTGTTTACCTTGTGGGAAGCCTACTTTTGCTTTAGAAGACATTTGCATGTGAAAAAGAGTGTGTACACACACACACACACACACACACACACACACACACACACACACAATATTTCAATGTTATGAACATTTTTTACTTACAAGCTAAACATGCCATCCTCTGGAAGTCTTTGTTCTTTAGGAAAGATTCAAAGCAGATCCTCAGTTACAATCCCAGGCTATCCTTCAGTAATCTTTTTGACACACAGACCAGGCTATCCCTCAGTATTCTTTGATAAACAGAACACTTCACTGAATATGGGTTGAGGAAATTCAGAGAGCAACCCAACCACCACTATCACCACTCCACCCCCACACCCCCACATCCTCACACCCCCACTGTGAAGAATGGAATAGTTAACTCCAACACCACTATTTTCAATTGACTGTCTTTGATGGGCTAAGGTCTTCCCAGATGTGGTATGACAGGTTGGAAGTACATCAAGAGATCCAAAATAGGGCTAGCTAGGACTGTAACCAACATCCAGGTTTTAAGAAGAGTTTTAAGAAGGGAAGGAAAAAATATCTTTTGTATACTTCCTCATTGACTAACATGGTCTAGTGAAAATATACCTTGGAATTAATGACTCACGATGTGAATATATTCTTGGAAAGTTTTAATCCTCAAAGGAATTAATCTGTTTGCATCAGGGATTACAGTGCAGTAAGAATTTTGGCAAATCTTTTTGGCTGACAGGAATGAAGTCTGATGGGCAGCTATCCCAGAGAGCTCTGCTATGCAGCTCCCCAAAGACCCAGGCTTCTTTCATCTTGTGACTTCATATATTTAATGCATAATATCCCTGTTTGTAACAGAAGGGAAACAAATACCACAAACAATTATTCACGTTTATTACAGCCATGCCTGAACTGGCATATGTTAATTTTCCCCTTACATGCATTGATCTCAAACTAACTTAAAGATGTTTGAAAACATGGTTGCCTTGTGTGCTTAGAGGAAGAAAATGATGACTTAATACCTATTCAGTCTTAGCCAAGCACCCTTTACAATGTGTGAGTATAGGGAAATGTTGACAGATGACCTATGGAATGTATAACCTTCTAGCAGAACAAGTGTACTCACCTTAGTCACAAATAACATGCATGGCTCAAACTCCTGGCCTTCATTACTGATTTACTTTGGAGTGATGGAGGGGCAGTATGCTAAACCTAGCTTAGAAAGCATTCTATCAGTATAAATCTTCCTTTGCTTTCTGGCTGGAACCTAAGTGTAACTGTACCTTTCAGAACTGGATAAACTAAAGAACAGTGGAAATTTGAGAGCCATGTAAGAGTAAATCATATTTTAAAATAATCTACTACACACAAGAAATGTCTACAACCTACATCTATCTGGTAAAAATTAAAACTAAGTGAAAAGGTATCCCCTTGCATTCATTTATTTAAATATATGCATATACCCAAGCATTGATTCTGTTTAGTTGAGTTACAGTTTTAAACTTAGAGTTTTAAAAATAAAATTAGTCATGTGTCAGTGGCTCACACAGTTAATCCCAGAACTCAGGAGGCAGAGCCAGGAGGATCTACGTGAGTACAAGGCCAGCCCAGTCTACAGAGTGAGTGGGTTCCATCCAGGACAGGCTCCAAAGGTACACAGACAAACACTTGAAAAAAAAAAACCAATAAATAAATAAAATCTAATTGAGCAAAAAAGGGTCACTCATTCACTGTGGAGATATCTGTTCATGAAGATTATATAGGTTTTGTCATCTAGATAACTAGATTTAGCTTATTGATACCTTGGTTTAGTCTTGGATTATTCAGGTAATTACAAAAAAGTTAATTTTGTTTCATATAATTTGTAGTATCTTATTCAACAAATTTGATTATGTCTCACCAAGAATATTCCAATGCATAAAATCTTATAATTACACCAGGGAAAAATACCTATCCCACATGAAGGGATGCACTCTTGGCCTGTACACATGGGAAGGCACCACCCTACTCTGCCTGGGGACTGGAGGATGGATGGGGTGGGGGGCTGGTGGAGGTTTGGGGGGAAGGGAGAAGGGATTGACATGTGAAGCAGGCTTGTTCCTAATTTGAACTAATTAAAAAATAAATAATTTTTTTAAAAAATCTTATAATTAGTAAGTAAATATAGAGTTGGATTCCAATAGAACTTTTTCATTTAACATGAAGGACTCCAAGGGATAAATGGACCCCAGGAATGGGAAGTGGCATGAACTCCTGAGCTAATTGGGAGCCCGAGGGTAGGGGAGAGGGAGCTGCCACAATAAGAGCAGGAGACCAGGAGTAGAGGAGAGGAAATGGAGGAGCAGAAATATTGAGTTGGGGAAGAATAGAGGAGAGAGAACAGAATGAGAGATACCATATTAGAGGGAGCCACTATGGGTCTGAGAAGAGATCTGGAACTAGGGCGATCTCCAGAGACCTATGAGGATGACACTATCTGACAACCCAGGCAATGGAGGAGTGGATAACCTAAAAGCCCTTCCCCTAAAATGAGATTGATGACTACTCTTTATGCCATCCTAGAGCCCTCATCCAGTGGCTGATGGGAGCAGAGACAGACATCCACAGATATACACTGAGCTGAAATCTGAAATTTAGTTGAAGAGAGGGAGGAATGAAGATGGAAGAGGTCTGTACCAGGTTGGAGAAACCCACAGAAACAGTTGGCCTCAACAAGGGAGAGCACATCGACCCTAGATGCTGTCTGGGAGGCCAGTTCAAGACTGATCCAGACCCCTGAACATGGATGTCAAGGAGGCCTCTGCACTCCAGGGAGCCTCGGGGGGGTAGGTTGGGGGTGGGGGAGGAGGGATAGGGGTGAGGGGAGGGAGAGGGAGAAGGGACTTACATGTGAAAGAAGCTTGTTCCCTAACTTGAACTAATAAAAACATAATTTAAAAAATGTAGCTATTGAACCACATTGCTTAGTTTTTCATGTTATATTTGTTCTATTCTGATTCTGCTATAATTTGCCCACAAACATTATGAAATGCATCCCAAGATTGTAAGCAATCTCTGATAGATGTATTTGTACCTATACAGAACATATTTTTCTGTTTTGTAATTATGAGGCATTTTATGAACTTATATAGGCAAATATCTCATGAGAAATTTCAAATTATTGTCAGTCACACTCACTATACTGTGAGACTCAGGAAAATACAAAATTGAACTATCTTTAATAAACCAAAAAGTCCATTTTATCTAAGATACTTCCTGAGACATATTTTGTATTTTGTAACTGGGGGGTGGATACATGAATAGAGAAATACATGGCTGCATGGTTTGTCTACTGAATCAGCTTCCACTTCCCCCAGCTACCACTATCCTGCCATTGCTAGGATATACCATATGCTCTGGTCCTCTTTTCAGTCATCTATTCCTTTCAAATTTCTCTGCTTTCTAGATTGTTCTGATTAACATTTGTTTTTCTGTAATTGGTCAGAAAGGCTATAAATTACCATCACGGTAATGACTCTTGCCATATAAACAATGTGTATCATTAATTCAATAGCACACATTATCCCAAACAGGTTTTTCACCATTTACTATTATAAAGGGAGCTGATAGTGAGAAAAGAATTTCCATTCTCTCTTTTTAAGTTGTTTCTGTTACCTACCTGCTGTGCTTAGGTAGGTAAGTTTGGCCTTAGATTTTTCTTTCTGAACATCTATTGAAAATAAAGATAGTCTGGATAGATATCCAAGATACTTAGGACAGAAAACAGCAATATAATTAGGCAAAAGTGAAGGTTCAGCATAATGAGAGCAGTAAATCTTTACAGAGAAACAGAAGAAAAGAAGGAAACTGTTACTGAACACAGAGTAGGGGACAGGCTTTATAGTTGAAAATTTTCACACAGTAACTTATTGAATACTCACAACCACTAGTGTATTTTCCCTTTTCTATCCAATAAAACCATTACAGAGGTTGAGCTCCTCAACTGACCTCCTTTGAGGTGGTGACACAGTGAGGAAAGAATTCAAACTCAGTCCCTTGGACACCAGGGCTCATATCACAGTATGCTGTCACTCAATGAAGAGACAACAAAAGAAAACAGATTAAAGTCAAGAAACTTGGGGAAATGACATCAAACTAAGAGAGTATTCTCTAAGCTGGCTATACTTTGAGTGTCAACCTGGAACATACCCGTGGAGAGCAAAACTAAGAAACAGCAACAGGTAAATGATGGAAAAGGTGAGGAACTGTGGGTACTGGCATTTGTCTGTGTCTTTGGGTAGGGTGGTTTTTGTAGAGACATTATACAGATATAATGTTTTGAAGATGTATGACCTACATCTGTCTGTAACTGCAGAACTTCTTTGTTCTTCCTTATTCAGGTTCAGTTGGGCTGATGACTTGTAAGAGTCCAGACTAATTCTGTTGTTGTGAATCTTGAATTTCATTTATTATTATACTTGGAAACTTAGTGAAACTCTGACTTTTCAACTACATAATAATAGATAGATAGTAGGTAAATAAACAGAGATATTTTCTAGGGTACTTGAAACTCAGAAAACATTTGTACACATTTTTGGTTCATCTCCATGATGTCTATAAAGTGGTATTTTATTGAACTTGATTTTTAAAAAATCTATGAATCATATGTCAGACAGCATTCAAAATCCTTTCCCTATATTCACCTATTTGGATTCACAATATCTCTGTGTTATAGATAGCATCACTGGTCTCCCACTTTTTAAGAAGAATAAAGTGAGAAATAATGGCAATAACCTCCTTTAATGCAATGCTGGCAACTGAGTCCATATGTGAACCCAGACATTCTAGAGCCATGCTCCTAATCAGGGTCAATAGGGTGACATCTGTAGACTGTTGGGAGTTCTTCAGATCCCAAAGGTCAATGCTGTTTTCTAAATAACACTATAGCATTTTTACGTGTCTTTTAACATGATATTTGTACGAACGATAAAAATTTACAGAAGGCAAATGGCTGGCTCAAGTGGCACATACCATATCTTCTGAAACCTACTAAAAAAGACCATAATGTCCTTAAACAAACATTACCACATCTTATTACATTAAATCGCAACCTCAACTCCTCAGTCTGTATTATTTTAGTGTTCTGAATATGATGAAGTGAATATATACAAAACATTCATTCTGTATAAAGTTCGTCCTTGTTTTAAAGAAGGAAAAGCATGGATGTGTTATATGATGTGGGAGACAAGACAACAACTTTTCTAATGGAGCAATAGTTATAATTGGGGTGGTAGCCTAAACTTCAGAGGTTCAGTTCATTATTATCATGGTGGAACAACAATGGGATGTAGACATTGTGCCATGCTGAGCAAAGCTTGGGCAAAAGAGACCTCAAAGCCTGCCTCCACAGTGACACACTTCTTCCAACAAGACCACACCTACTTTAACAAGGTCCTGCCTAACAGTGCCACATCCTTTGGGCGGAGTTCATTATTTTTCAAACCACCACAAAAGGCCAGACCCAGACAGAAGATTACCCGTTTTCAATCATATGGAACCTGGAATAAAAGAATAATGCAAAATGTGTCAAGGGGTTATTTAGAATGTAGAAGGAGAAAGGGAAAGGAAGGAATACTGGTAAAAAAGAGTAATTCAAGGTGAGTGTTATCAAAGAACATCACATATACATAAAGAAATATCATAATTGAATGCTTTGCTTCAAACAACTGATATATGCTTTTTTAAACAGGATGAATTATCAGTAGTGCTCCAAGCTAAGGAAACAGTGACTCTAAATAAGGTATAGCAGAACAGAAGTTCTGGAGCAATGTAGCTTGCTTGGACTGGATTATCCAACTGTGTCATTCCAAAGCCATGCTTCACTCTTCCCATAAACCACAACTGGTTTCTCTTAGGTCAGTCATGCTTAGCCCTTGGAACCACCCATTTGGAAAATGGAGTGGGGGTTGCTTTGATTCTTCCTGACCAAGGGCTCTATGTTCATCTAGGTGGCAGGTTCCTTAGGAGTTAACAGTCTTCGAGCCAGGAAACTGCTATTTTGAGTAGTAGTAAGGTAAGGGGTGGAATAATATTTCACAGGAAGAAGACTTAAATGGGACCTATAAATTATGTAGCTATTTTTCTATACTGTGGCCCTCATCTGGAATTTTTCAAAATAAATTATTTAGGCCAATTTTACTGTGGTTGTGAATATTACACACTGCACTGTGGTCTCTAAAGTATGTGCCTGTTGCTGAGATGGCATTTTTGAAAAACTGTTATGAGCAAGTAATGACAGTGGTAGTTCCCAGGGTAAATGGGCTCTCATTCCCCACTCCCCCAGAGGCTTGTGTGGGGCTCCACAATGGATCGCTAACCACCAGATGTGTAGAGGAAAAGGAAACATTCCACATTATTTCATCCAATGATGGAATTTCCTTATTTTTCCAAAAGTCAAAAAGTAATATATCATCTCCATTCTGGAGAGAGCTTCTGCAAAGGGGTAACTGCAACAAACTCAGAGCACAGAGAATGAGTCAGGATCACAGAACAGGCTTCCACGCAGAAGATAGACCACAAAAGTCAAGCTATCCACAGGGTCAGCATGACACAAACAACTGGGGAACTAGGGAATTTCAGCAGCCTGCAATTTGAGTCATAAATCACCTCTCTGATTTACAGCTTACACTCAAAGGAGCATGGACTTATGGCTGGATGATGTGGACAGTGGTCCACAGGACTTTCCCATCTGCATGAGCAATGTGAGAATTTATCTCCAGTTTCCTTGCATGACTTTTTTCCTCATAAAAAGATATTTATTATCAGAGTTCCTATTACTTTCTCCATGTCACTAATTCAAAGCTTTAGTTCTATTCCTGCCTTTTTGGAAGTTATTATCTTTCATATATCTTATTGTATAGCTACATATTCAAAAATCAAACCACATATCCACAATCAACTCCATGACATCTCACTCAGTGTTGACATTATCTCCCGTATTTCCATTTCTTCATCTGGCTGATTTTATTTTCCACTTTAGGGGCTCGAAATATGATTGTCCTGTCAGACCTGAAAATAACAACTTATAAATAACTAGTACACCTGTGAGGTAAACCTGAGCCCGTCATACCAAGAATGTGTATGCTTAAATCACCACATTCTAAGAGGATATGGGAATTTCACCTGCACCCAGGTGGGCCTGGTTCTCAATCTCAGGGCAGAAAAGTTACAAAGTGACAGTACCCAGATGAGATGCCTTAAAATGAGAACACCTTAATGAAACACCCTTATGAGAAAATTCATGAGTTTCAACTAGCTAAACTCTCTGGAATAGACTGTGACATAATTTCTTACATAATTTCTTTCATTCAATGTGTTTTGGACCTCTCCACCTACCTTCTCCCAGTTCCCTCCTGTCCCCATCACCACCACCCATGAGTCTCCCCCCCTTTTTTTTAGTTCTGATTTTAATGTCCCACAGAGATATAGATATAGATATAGATATAGATATAGATATAGATATAGATTTAGATATAGATATATAGATATATAGATATATAGATATATAGATATATAGATATATAGATATATAGATATATATTACTGACTTTCTGTTGCTGTGATAAACAGCATCACCAAAATCAACAAGGGGAGAAAAGAGTTTATTTCATCTTACAGCTGTAGTCCATAATCTAGGGAAATCAGGGCAACAATTCAAGGCAGGAACCTGGATGCAGAAACTCAAGGTCATAGAGGAGTTCTGCGTTCTGTCTTGGCCTCTACGGTTTGCTCAGATTCCTCTGTTATGCTACCCAGTGCTTCCCTTGGTCCAAGTATGGATACTGACAGTATGTGCAATTGCTCCTCCCTCTTCCAGATGCCTGCAGCCTGAGACTGAAGTCCCCTACAGAGATCCACTACTGAGATGAGTTACCTTCACCTCCTCCTTCATTTATGTACAACGTATGTGCTGAGTTTCCAGTACGCTGACTCATCTCCATTAGGGCACATGGCCCATCCCATACCAGCTTTCCTGTACTTGTGTTTGTGATTTTTCATATCTGTCACCCCAGTCAGGTCAATCCCAAAGTCATAGCAATGAGTTTGCTTCTCATAAACATTCTGATCATCTTACCCATTCTCAGTTTTAAGCAATCCTTTTGTTTCTTCACATTATTACAATTTCTTCTTACATTAATTTTATTGTTCATTGTCTGGTATAAGCTATAGATATTGCAGTGAAACCATCAATAGTAATAATAAGGAAATCAAATATTTTTAGCCAAAATCTAAAGTTCTAGCTAGATGGTTGAGCAGTTGAGAGTGATGGCTGCTCTGGAGGACCAGAATTCGTTTCCCAAGTATCCACACGTTGGCTGCTTCACAACCATCCTGTCCTGATAAGTTTTGTGCCATCTTGACACAAGGTGGAGTTATCTTGGAGGAGATTATTATCTGAGGTAATGCCACCATCAGATTGCCAGCAGGCATGCCTGCTGAGCATTTTCTTGATTGATGATGGATGTGGAAGGGCCTAACCTATCACACAGACCTGTGTTTTTACTTATTTCACTCAAATTCCCTTAGACTGTTGTATTTAGCTCAGAGCCACATAAATTGTTTTTGTTTTGAGTCAGAAATAACAACTGTACAGATATCTGGGGCTGTCACAATAATTTAGCAGGTAAAAGCCCTTGCCACACATTTCTAACAACCTGTGTTTAGACCTCAGAACCCAAGGTGGAAGAAGAGAATTGACTCCTGAAAGTTGTTCTTTGACCGCCATCTATATCCTTTTGCATGGATACACACCTGCATGCATGCACACACTCAGAATAATCATTATATGGGAATTTGAAAAAGGAGAAAGTTGAACATATATGTTTTATATAACATATTAACTTTGTATGTTACTATGTAGATGCAATTTACAAATACTTTACTTCGGAAACATCATTTTGTAGTGAAAACACTTAAAATATTTTCTGTAAGCTATTTGTCTGAAGTTTTGAGCCCATGAATAAATAAATACCTTTTAAAATACAACAGTAGGAAGAAGCAAAATAATGTGTGAATCAGGGCTTTGCCAAAGTATTTCACACGATGTTTCTCTCAAATATACCTGCAGACTCTATAAATAATGAATATTCCCATATGTAGGAAAATTTTTGTATTTATTATTTATTTATTGGCATAAAGGTGACATCAAGTTTGTAAGATGCTATGCTCTGGAGAAGCTGGTGGGAAAGACTGAAAGAACAGTGTTATAATTATGTAAATCTTGGCAGAACTTCCTTTCAAGTTTCTCAGGCAATATTTTTTCTTGGACAGATGGTACCAAAACTAGAGTTATTTCTCTTCCTGGAGTCATTGCTCTCCTGCTCAATTGTTCCAATAAGGTCCTGCTTTTTACCTGTGTGCTTGGATGATATACTCTGTCCTCCATTGCATTGCAATGTCACTACAACCCGTGGCTGTAAGAAAGATGCACATACGTACAGATCCCTCAAAGAATTTTTGTGTATATTTCTATTTTAACCCATGTAAATATATTTCGATTCTCTCTCGTTTTTAATTTGGCACTTTTATCTTTAAATCTACTTATGTTGTTTTTTCTTTATACTTCAAACTTCATAATATCCTGTTACTGAAATCCATCCACTGAATTCTGCTCAATCACAGCAATTATGGGAGGGCCATCCAGAGGTTTCCCCAGTTCTCTGCTGCTGCAAACATTGATCTAATCAGTTCCTATCATGGACTTGTAGACAAAAATGTGGATTTCATTTCTAGATAGAAAGCAGATCTAGATAGCAAAATCCTAGATCTGATTATGAGTGGAAAGGGATAAATTGTAGCGTGGGATCTGTTATGAAGGGCACTTGGAGGATAGACTACAATATAAAATGAGCAACTTAACCAAAGAAAAAAATCACAGTTATTAAAAACTGGATATGAGGTGACTGTTCTAAGTGTAGAAAACAGAGTGTAGCACACAACTCTAGAAGAGAGAAAGGGAGGAGAGTGTAGAGATAGGTCACAGTTTTCAATAAGGAAGAAATGGGGTTTACCAAGTCTGGTCAACAGTGGCTGTTACATAGAAACTGCTTGAATCCTAGAGCATATGTGGGACATTTTCCTTAGAGGTTGAAGTACACCCATCGTGCAACAAATTATTGGAGCATGACTTCTAAAATGAGAAATTCTTTAGGGATTTCCCCAAAGCCCCCTGTTGTAGTTAGAGGCAATAAAGAACAAACTACACCACATTGAAGGTTTATTGGTAGGTGGAGGACTTCGGAGGGTGCCTCCGAAGGAGAAGTGATGGAGAAAGGAAGAGGGTAAGGACTGAGCTGGCATTTAAAGGGGGTTTAGCGCATGTGCATGCGCATAGACTGTTAAGCAGTAACACAGCCTTAGGATCCTGGGCTGGCCAGGTGTCTGCCTGAATGCTGACAAAGCATGGGCACAGAGGGTGTTCTTAGTGGCTACAGCTGAGGGCCCTGGGGGCAGACTAGCATGATGCCTGAATGCTAATAAGCACATTTGTGTAGGAGTGCTTATGGTTGATGATGTCTCTGCCAGGTCCCCAAAGGCAGGCTAGCATAATGCCTGAATGCTAACACCCCTGTCATTAGTTGAGGGAATACCTGAAAGAAGTTTCTCTCCTTTTCATAATCTTGCCCCTATATCTACTTTTAAATGGTTAAAGTGCATCAATAATTAAAAGATGTGAGCTAGTTTGCCAAGAGTTTTACACTGGGTTATCAAACATTAGTGATGCTAAATTAAAAACTCCACCTCAGCAATATGGAGAAGTAAGCATATGATTAATGTAGACGTCAATTTAGTCACTCTAACTATGAGCTGGTAGAGGGACATGAACCCAAGTGAGAAGAGAAATTAAACCAAATGTTAGCCATTGAGAAATAGCATGCTTCAGCAAAATATATAAAAGAGAAACATTGAAATTGGCTTGTTAATAGAACTCTACACAGTCTTCTGGTATCTTGAACTTGTGGACCATTGAAGTGTCACTTCTAGAGGTAGACCCCATCACAGTCTTTATTATTCCATTCTTCTAACAAATGGATAAAAGGAACTGAGGATACTGTGCCATCAAGCATGTCAATGTATTTGGTTAAGCTAATCTATAAATGTACTCATTAAATCTTGATACAGGAATACAGTTTTGCATTCCCTACTGTTACACATTATAACTATAATGATGATATTGAAATACTGCTTTAAGGAAGCAGGTGAAGAACACCTGAGACATTGAATACATCAAGAACCTCGGTTGTGTTACAAAATAATTCCAGATCAAACCTACGAAGACCCAGGAAAGTCACAGAACTATGGACAGAGTTTGTGAGGGTTCTAAGTGAGGGCATGGGTTTGATAGAACTCTAAACCCAGTAAGATACTCAAATGATGATAAAGTGAAGTATTGCCAGAAAAAAAAAATAGTGAACTGATGTAAGAAGCACTGAGTTCAAGTTCTGGATCCACCACAACCAGTCATACAGATCTCACTTTTCTGAAGTATACATGGAAGATGCAGGAAATTACTATCTCTCTTTCTAGAAAATACAACATAAAAATAAGGATTTAGGGCTGAGTCTCAGACTTAATTCTGTGTTTGAAAATGTCTTTGCATATAATGCATTTGAATATTATTTGCCTTAAAACTCATCATGGGATAAAATTACAAGAGTAATCAGGATCAGAAGTCAAATGAGTAATAAGGATAGGATCTTATCTATTCAGAGCTGACCAATTATTATGCGATGGGTGATTTTTACCATAGTTAAAACATGATAACATTTTCTTGGCTTGGGCCAGTGTCTGTCTCAAACCAACCAACAGATGGTCCCACTATCTAAATGAAGACACAAGCTTGCCCTGAAAGTTACCATGTAAGCTTCAATCTGGAGCTGGGCAGTACATCTGTTCTGATTGTTTGATGTCTATGGCAAGCTAATCACTAAATTTAATAGCCTCTGTATCCCTCTCTGATTCCTTCGCTTACCAGCTTGGGCTCAGTCTTCTTGAAAACCAAGGAAACAGTGGTATTTCCTTTCTCTCACACATGCCCATACAACTCTTAACACCCATCTTCTCAGAGGAAAGGAAAAGAAATATAATGAACTTGAAACTGAATCTCCAGAAGCAAAGGTTTGTTTGGTTGTTTTCTGGTTTTGTTTTTTGTTTGTTTTGTTTTGTTGTGTTGTGTTGTGTTGTTCTGTGGTTTAAATAGGCCATAGGAAATTCCTATTTTAAAGCACCTATTTAACATGTAAGGGTAAGATGCTAACAAAGTTCAAGTGCAAGTCCCATTGCTAACTTGTTCTCCCAATGCTAACTTGGTCTTTTAAACAACTGTCTGTGTCAAATAAATTATTTAAACTTTATATGTTAGTCTTTTTATTTTTAATTGTTAATAAATGGAGGCCAGAGAGATGTCTCAGTAGTTAAGAGAGATTTGCTGCTCTCCCAAAGGACCAGATTTAGTTTTAAGTACCATATCAGGTGTCTTACAACAGCCTGTAACTCCAGCTCTAGGAGATCTAATGCTCTCTTCTGGCCTTCACATGCAGCATACATTGCAAGGATACATACATGCAAACAGAAACAAAAACAAAACCTTTTGATTTTAATAATAATCAAACAGCTAATACATATTGAGCAGTTACTAAGTACAGCATTATTTTATGAATGTTCTTACCTAACAATCATAATAACATATGTGATAGGTAGCTTTTCTCCTCACAGTGAAAAAACGTAAAATTCAAAGAGACTAAGTAAAACATCTTTTCCTTGTCCTTGATTAAACAAAGCTAAGGGAAAGCCAGACAATGGACTTAATTGTCTTATTCGTGAACAAATGCTCTTAAACATCATCTGCACACACACATGTAATGATAAATCTTTCCACCAAGCTGCCTGAGCCCTCCTGCCACATGGGTGCCCAAAATAACACACAGAGACTTTTATTAGGTACAATGCTGCTGGTCAATGACTAGGATTTCTTACTTGCTAGCTCAGTCTTAATTATCAAAAATAATTACTAATCTATATATTTTATAAAGACTTATGTGATTGAGGATGCTGGCAGCATGTGTCCTGTCTTGTCAGGCTCACATGGCAGTTCCAGAGAAGAGAGGGGGAGGAAGAGAGCAATTTCCTGCTTGTCCCTGCTTATATTCTGAGTCGGCCTGCTATGTCATTTCCTGCCTAGATCACAAGACTTCTCTTGACTACATTTCCCAGAATCATCCTTCTCTCCTAGTCCTGCCCAACTTGCTTCCCTATTGGCCAACAGTTATTTATTTATCAACCAATAAGACAAACATATACACAGAAGGATGTCTCTCATCACACACACACACTCACACATACATACACACACACACACACACACACACACACCTACTGTGTTCTCTTTATTGAGTACTATTTTTAATAACAAACAAACTTCTAAGAATAGCAATGTTTTAATGAATATTAATAAGTTCATAATCAGCTACCTCATTGAAACTATCTCAAATGATATAAGGAATGTGTTTATCATGATTTTGTGATATCTTCTATGTGAGTCATACCACAACAATCTTGTCATCAAGTGTCCAATCTTGGAGAAACTTTGTAAGTACAACTGGCTCTAGAATTTATAAAACTGGTTACAATACTTATAGTTGATAACTATGCCATTCCAGTTGATAGAATTCTGTATGTTATATTCAAGCATAGTGGAGAAGATTTTTACCCTGGGGCATGGAATAAAAACTAGAAATAAATTTCAGAGACAGCAGTATATAATGAAGAACAACTGCCATATAAGCATATAAGTGTCTGCTTTGACTGCTGTGGAATCCACATATGCCCTGAGTTTCTTGTGTTTTGGTATTTAGCATTTCAGGAATGCCTGCTCTGCCTTCTGCATTATTTATTTGTGATCCGTGACAGACATTCTCTCAGTGCAAATATCTTTTATTCATGTTGTCTCTAATTAAAAGAGCACTTACTAAGATCCTAAGGAAAACACTTGAATATAAAAGAAATTTACTTTTCTTGTATCTTAAGTGATCAAAGGATATGAAAGGGGTGTGTGTGTGTGTGTGTGTGTGTGTGTGTGTGTGTGTGTGTGTGTGTGTTAGAAAAAGGATAAATATCTCCAAGAACAGATTGCTAGCATTGGTGTTTAAGAATAGTGATAAAAATAGAACCCAAAAATAGAACTTTAATCATACTGGTTTTAAAAACCAATTGTGTGTGTTGTATACCTGAAAGTACTGTAGTGATTATTTTGCAAATAAATACCACATCTGTCAACATTCACATTTACTTGCTAGATTGGTTGTATCAGGCCCTTTTTGGTCAATATTAAGTTCTAAATGGAGTCATCCATTTTTTTTTAAATAGGCACAAGGCTCATTGGCTAATTTTAATGACTGTACAACTTGATATGGAAGGTGAGGTACACAAACAAGAAAAGCACTGAAGAGTGAGTAGAACAGCAGAAAAATGGGCTATGGAGAAGCAGGTGGAGCATGGAGAAGTCTACATACCAGGAATAAGAAGGCTTTATAATGCAATGGAAGGAAGACCACTGAAGTCCACAAACAGGAATGATAAGATTTTTGTTAGAGACAACACTTACTTATGAAGGGTAACAGAGACTGTTACAAAGTGGAGAGGCATCTGAAAGTAAAGAAAGAAGACCACTGAGAGGAGACTGGGTCAAGACTGCAACATCACTTTCAGGAGATTGTGAAGTAGCCTGAGTATCGGAGGAAGGAAGGAAGGGAGGGAAATAGATGTCAAGGATTCAGGGAAGAGATTGGCAAATGGTAGATTGAGGCTGGAAAAAGATTCAAATAAACAGAAAACTCTTAGGGAGCAGAGAAACTTCTGACACCAGTAGGAAAATAGCAGGATTAGTCAATTAAAATGCAGCCCTGAAATGTAATTTCTTTGCTTCAACTCAGCTCAGGAATTTTCCTGTCTTACTCATTCCCCCACTAACAGATTTTAGTACCTCTGTGACATCTACAATGTGAAAATTCATGGAGAGAAACCTGGGATTATTACATAGTAAAAGCTGTGCAGACAGCAATCCCCAACTGAGAACTTTGTTGTTGTAAATTTTAAAGTTACGAATCCAATATTTCTATGAATTAGTTCACAAAGATACATAAATATTTTTAGTTTCACATTTTAGAATAGTTGAAAACACAAACTCTTTATAATCCTGCAGAGAAATCACTTAATTAAAATGATGGTATCAGTGTGTGTGTGTGTCTGTGTGTGTGCGTGCATGCTCTTCTATGGTATACATGTGGATATCATAGGGTAACATGATAGGGGCGGGCAGGTAGTTATTTTCTCTACCTTTGGCTTCCAGGAGTCAAACTAGGTCTTAATGCTTGGAAGCAAGCACCTATACCTGCTATGCTACTTCACCCCCCTGCCTATAATAATGGTGTTTTTAAACTGGAAAGTATTCCCATTTTTCCCAGTCAAAACCAGACTTTTCTATATGACATGAATTTGAAAATACTTTTGTGAGCATCTTAAACACTTTTTGGATATACTATAAATTTAAATGCATACACAACACTATAATCACAAATCAAATAATAAAATATGCCTGTTCATTAAAAAAAACTCAATGAAGACTAACTTGACTTGAGAAACTCTGTATAATTTTAATTCAAGTGACTGAGAAAATTATTCTGGTTAAGTACATCCTCTGTTACCAACAAGGTCTCCACTGGAGTTTGCATCCATGAGTTCCAAACAGGAATTAGTAGAAGCTAATTTATATTCAAGTTTTCAATTGGTTTTCTAGTGCTGTGTAACATATTACCACAAAGTACTTTCTTGAAAATACTCATTATTTCACAGCTGTATGACTCAGATCCCAGCACTGCTTAGAGACATTCCCAAGCTCCTCAAGAAGTTGGCACAATTAGTCTGTTTGTAGCTGTGGGACCTAGGCTTCTGTTTGACTGTTGACTATGGCTGGAGAAATCTCGTCACACCTATATGTACAGAGTCTCCCCATCAGGCTCCTTCAAGAGGCAGTTCATAATCTGGAACTTAATTTCCTCAAGCCAATGGGGGAAAAAAGCAAAGCAAAAGTCTCTCACAAGTGATAAGACAGATATTATGTTTGTATTTGTGTGTGCATATTTAGTGTGTATATATACCTACATAGTAGTAAGCACAAGAAAAGATATCTACAGATATCTTTGCAGTTTTTTTATTTGAATTAGAAACGAGATTGTTTTACACGACAATCCCAGTTCCCTTCTCCCTCCCATCCTTCTCTACCACCCCTCCCCAAATAAACCCTACCTCTCACATATCCTTTCTGCTCCCCCTCGCTGGTGAGGCCTTTCATGGATATCATCAGACTATCATATCCTTTGGGATAGGGGTTAGGCCCGCCCCCATGTGTCTTGGCTCAGGGAGTATTCCTCTAAGTGGAATGGGCTCCCAAAGTCCACAACTATGTTAGGGATAAGTACTAAAGGGTTCCACGGCCAGAGACCCCATAGATTGCCAAGTGCTCCTCACTGACACCCACATTCAGGGGTCTGGGATCAGTCCCATGCTGGTATCCCAGCTATCAATCTGGGGAGCAAGAGTTCCCTGATGTTCAGGTCAACTGTTTCTGTGGATTTCACCAGCCTGGACTGGATCCCTTTGCTCTTCACTCATCCTTCTCTGCATCTGGGTTTCAGTTCAGTTCAGTGATAAGTTGTAGGTGTCTGCTTCTACTTCCATCAGCTGCTGGATGATGGCTATTGGGTGGCATATAAGTCAGTCATCAATCTCATTATCAGGGCAGGGCATTTAAGGTAGCCTCTCCTCTGTTGCTTAGATTGTCATCTGTGTAGATCTCCAGACATTTCTCTAGTGCCTGATTTCTCTGTAAACCTAAAATGCCTCCCTCTTTTATGGTATCTCCATTCTTGTTATCTTCTATTCTTCACTTAACTCAACCTTTCTGCTCCCTCATGTCCTCTGCATGCCTCCTCTTCTCCCCTTCTCATTCTGCTAGCTCCCTGCCCCCTCTTCCAAATTTGCTCCAAATTTGCTCAGGGGATCTTGACCATTTCCTCTTCTCTTAGGGTCCTCCTTGTTACTAGCTTCTCTGGCAGTGTAGATTGTAGGCTAGTAATCCTTTACTCTATGTTTAAAATACACATATGAGTGAGTACATACCATGTTTGTCTTTTTGTGATTGGGTTACCTTGCTCAGAATGGTTTCTTCTAGTTGCATCCATTTTCCTGCAAATTTCAAGATTCCATTTTTTTCTGCTGAGTAGTACTCCATTGTGTAAATATACCACATTTTCTCTATCCATTTTTCAGTTGAGGGGCATCTAGGCTGCTTCCAGTT